ACACGTCAGAAAATTCTGGGCAAAAATACGTCGATTTTCTTTTTCGATGTTCTATCTCTGCTATAAATTTGAGCTCAATCGGACATGTACTCCGCATTTGGCAACAAGGTGAAAAAAGAGGGGGGGGTACCCTTAAGCAACCCATAAATCATTTTTTTTGCCACTATCAACACCATTGAAGTATTTATACAACATCAGTATTCCTTATTTAGTATAGAAAAATATGTCACAACAATATCTTCTGAAGTGTTTAAGGTTTCAACTATAATAGGTGATTCACTCCAAAAAAAAAATCATATCGAGTAATCACACGAATAACGTTTTTATAACATACTATTTGATCAGGTCAAATATAGGTCTTCTTCTGTCGAAAAGTGAATCATAATACTATAGTTCGAGAAATGTTTCAAATCCCACGTGCTGTCTGATACACATCAATACAGTCGCTACCACTGACCAAAGCACATATCCTTCTCCTAACTTAATTCCTGCATGGCTTATATGGCGAATTTGTGCCAGTTCCTTCCCAACTGCTTCTCTTCCCAAGTAATTATTCCATTCGGGAAGTTGGGCGAGAACAGCTGAGAGAGCAAACCAGTGTAGGGCAGATATTTCATCATTTGGGGTGAACGAACGAGTCAATAGATCTGCATGTTCATTGGTTAAATGTAATGGATAAATAACGCTTGCATCTACAAACAAGAAGCGTGTGAGACGTGATCGCAAATTGGATGTAATTTCTTTTTCATGTGTAACACTATCCAAAGCTCTTTCGGCCACCTGTTTCTGCAATTCGCCTTTTTCACGCGGATATGACGATGGTAGAGTTAACAATGCACGTCGTTCTACCGTTGTTGGGATTTCATGATGTTTTTCTTTGACCAATTTTGTTACAAATAGGATCAAGATTTCACCTTCTCGCTGAGTGTAGATCAGCAAATTAATCATCGTACATCCCGTTGGATTATGTTCTAACGATAGGTTATTTATTTGATCACGAAGATATCGCTGATATATACCGTTTGAACTGTAGTAGATGCCTAATTTTCCATGTAACTCGCCACGTCTCGCATGACAATCGTCTAATTCATGTTGTCCTCTACATGATTTTAGCCAATAACAAGCATAACGTGGGTTAACAGCGTTACTGGTAGTAGTACTACTAATGCCACTATCCGAATAACTGCTCCTTCTACTACCACGGGCTGACGCCATTAGAGAAAAATTCTCTGTTTCGCATGCTTATATAGGCTATAACCTTGAAAATGTTAGATTTTCATTTTATTTCTCTTGTTCGTTCTGTGTTTACTTGTTTTTCCGCAGGTAACAGAAAAAAAAGTTTTTTGTTTCTTCCAAAATCATTTATTACTTTTTCGATTTGTCATTTTATTTCATCATTCTAAAGAAAGAGGCATAAAAATTGATAGAACAGCAAGAGAACGAAAGAAAAAGGAGAATTTTCACATAATGTTGCTATCCGCCAAAAAGATATTCTCTAATGACGGCATTACAAAGACAAGACTGACACATTTTCATTTTTTGTGCTGTTTGTCTAAGAAAAAATTTAGAGAAGTTAAATATATTCGCAGAACAAAAATTATCCTGAAATTTAAATGTGAACGAGAGAACATCACTGCTATAAAGGTAACATATTACTCGCAATTCTTTCGAATTTAACGAAAAAAGAAAACAAAACAAAAAACAGCGAACGAATAACGACAGATAATTTTTATTTAAGTAAAAAACTGCATATTAATAGCTTAATAGACAAAAAAATGTGTCATACTTCTACACTCTGAAATAAAAAGAGTATTCTCGAAAATTTACAAATGGTTTTCAAAAATGTTACTATATAAAACTCTTTTGAGTTTTCGAGACTACCTTTCGAGTGGGTTTTCGAACCGTCGAAAATGCTTTTCCTGTTCGCATATCTTTTTCTTGTTCAACTGAATTTTGCCCTCGAATACCCTTCAAAAGGATTTTCGAAAAAAAAAATAGGGTCATCTTCCACGGGAACACCTCGCCAGCGATGACGCTGAAGCGAAGTCTCGAATACCCAAAAGCGTTTCATATAGTAACATTTCCGAAAACCCTTGAAAAAGGTTTTCGTGCGTTCTAATACTCTCTAAAAAACCGTTGAGAGTTCAAAGCATGAACGTTTAACCACTGGTCTTTCCATCGTAGGTGATTTTCCTGTTTATTGTCCTGCTCTTCCAGACAAGTGCCAGCTATCATGAAAAGAATAGATCTGAATTTTTTCCAGAAAGTAGTTGGCCAAAACTGTGCTAGTAAATCTCGTTAAATGCAGCGTTCTGATGCATAAAATCATGTGATTTTTTTCTGTTCTTCTTTCTTGTTACATTTTTCGTTACTTTCTGCATTCGATATATTTAAGAAGCATCATTGCTTGTTTCTTGAGTTATTGATTATCGATAATAGTAACGGGTGTTACAAAAAGAATGGCGTAGTTTTTATTGTATCCTTTGCACTCACAGAGCCCATCTTATTACCAAAAGACTCCCCTCTCATTTCTCCGCAAAATAGTGTATAGAAGATGATCCTAAGATTTGAGACCTACCTTGATTGAAAAAAAACCGAAATATCCTGAAACTTGAAAAAATTCAACTCTGAGAAGTATATTTCGTCAGTATGGAGTTGAACGTTTGTGTTGTATCCAGAGCAAGTAGGGCAAAATGTAGCCTTTAAAATTCTCTACCGATTAGCTGTAATGTGGATTTTCTATCGTTATTTCTGTGTTTTCAGTTTCTTGCAAAAGCTTTTTCTGACCGTTTTTACAGCTTTTTAACCTACATTTTGGGGCTATTTGTAAAATGAACAATGCTCAGCCAAAACTGATCCAATCAGGCTTATTCTTGCATCATTTTGAAGACAAATGTTTAATCTACACGACTCACGTGCGAAACGCTTGCTGTCACTTTCCTGAACAATGAAGATGCTGAAACTAGTGCATTTTGTTCAGTAATGGCTATCAGTTATTACTTAGTCATTTTTACCACATCAGACCGATGGGAACTAAATGAGTCTTGTGCAATCTGAAAGAGGACATCTAAACGTCCTAAGAAATGACGTGCTATCTTCTTCCTATCATATTTAGAATGACGTCAAAATTATCGTCGGAAAAAATTTAACTTTTTCTAGGACATTTAGATGTTTGTTCAATTAAGACAGCATCTCAAACCTTAATATCATCTTCTATACACCATTTTGTAAAGAAATGAGTGGGAAATCTTTCGGTAATAAGATGAGGTCTATGAGTGCAAATGAAGGGGCGAGAAACTGAAAGTAAAACTACGCTATTCTTTCTGTAGCACCAGTTAGTATTGTTGAAGAAGATAATAAGCAGTTTAGAGTAGAATAGGAAGATATTTTGATAAAACGGTCATCAAATGTGAACCATTCCAGCTTAGATCGATCTAACAATTAACTTAATTTTTGTAATTAATTTTTTTCTCTAAGGTTCTTATCTGTTTCGACATAACTAATATGAAAGTTATCGAAACGTATCAAAGGCGAAATAATCTCATAAAGAGTCGAGTATCGTTACCATTTACTGTTTGATGTTACAGCTGATATCGATGAAATTTAAAATCATCCATTTTCTCCTCCGCGTAGTATTTATATCTTTTGGCAATCAGTAGATAATTACGTGATCAATTATTGAAAGGTCAAGACTGATAGTAAAATGCTCACAAGACTTTTGAATAAGTCTCTCTCTATCCTATTGTTTTCATTCTCGCTGAAAATTATTTTTTCTTTCCTACGAAGAAAATATATTCCCTCTCTACAGAAATAAAATATTGCTTTCTCTTTTATTCTTTGTGATTTCATTCTCCATTAGGTACGATTCAACAATAAGTTGATGAGACAATAAGTTATCAAAGAATGGCGTATAATGACTGATAATAGAAATGCCGACTGTTCATCAGTAACACACTATATCAAGACAAAATTCTTTCCCTTCCTTTTCACAAATTTTCAAGTGTTAAGTACAGTAGTGTTCTATATTTTTCACTGAAAATGACTCTATGAAGAGTTCAAACGTCATATCTTTTTTAATTAAATAAATTTAAATCCAATATATGGCTGCTGTAAATTTAAAAAAAGTTAAAGAGGTTCCAAAAGATTCATTACAAGACCCGGGTCTTCTATTCTGAATTTCACATCGTTCCCGTAGAAGGGTCTTCTATTATAGGAGGGTCTTCTAATATGGGAGAGTCGTCTATTATGAGAGAGTCGAAAGAGTTTTCAATCTAATGTTGTGTACACTACGGTATCATCGAAGTTTCTCGGACTAGAATCTTTGGAATACCAACATCTCAGAAAAGCAAGTTTCTGAATGCACACAAGAACTTATTTGCGAGTAACATCATCATATAGATGAAACATTTCTGAATAAAACGAGATTTCGCCGAGCTCTCCAAGACATTTTTTCATGAAACAGTATTCAGTTTACGAAGGACCATATAATATTAAAATCAATCTGAAAACCTGTAAGATATGGCCTCAGAGCCTTTCGTAAACTGAATACTGTTTCATGAAAAAATATCTTAGCGAACTCGGCGAAGTCCAGCTTTGTTTATCGTGATCGTAATAAACGTGAACCGTTCTGTGTTTGTCCCCCGAAGCAATTTGGTTTTACATGTCATTTAAAACATGACTTATGTGATCAATAAGATCGATGTAAAAATAGTGGTAGATGCTCAACTATATGCGATTCTAATGATATATTAAATTATAGATATTTGTTTGCAAGAATATACTGTGGTCCAAATTATGAATTTGAACAAGCAGGTGAGTGGGCATGATGGATTGAAAGAACTATAACTAAAGAAACTTGTCATACACCAGATCTGAACGTACAATAACGAACAGCACGAATAAGAGCCGATCGCAACCATGGCTATATGCTACTTTTGCATGACCGATCACATATGGTAACGTACAGCTAATAGACCATCACAATCAGAGAGTATACCATTACCATCTATGTCATTAATCAAAAAATCAGCTTGCTGATCAGTTAATTCATCATTGCTTCGTCAGTTAGTTGATTATCGTCTACTGCTATATCATTCGCTTGTTCCTTATCTTATTGTTCGCCTTGCGCGCAGAATTAATAAGAAACTAAATATCAATAACAAAATTTTGACTACTATATACCAGCTGTTTTAATAGCATCATTTGTTTGTTTTTTTGACGGATGGTGTTTAAGTGTATGTCGAAAAATATTTGTATATAAATGAGTGTGACAACGAAGGTGGATCATTCCTGGGCTAGAAAAATCAAGTCATCATGTAAAGAGCATCACATTTCTACTAGTTCAAGGTATACAGATTGAAAACAGTGCAAAAAAAATGACAATAATTTCTCTTTGATAAGAGAGTTAACTCGCGATCGTTTTTTAGATGCATATTTAAATGCTGCTTCGTTATCGCTTATCATCACACTTTTTTTCCATTAATGCAGACTGATCTAACGGCCACCTGTCCCACAGCTGCCGCTAAGGGATACCGTCAAATTGTTCATCGCTTTAATCGCTTTCTATATTTGATAGATTTATTCACAGAAACGAAAAAAGAAAAGTAAGAAACGATAGAGAGTGAACCAGAGATATTTTTTTTCCTAAAATGGAAGAAGAGAACGGAAAAGAACGATATGATGTTGATATATGAGATATATGATAGATATTGCTTCTGAGTTTGAAATTTTTTTCTTTTGATCCAAATGTTCACTGCACTCACTATGAAATTACTCTATATTCTGTGAACTTAAAACTAACTAGAATGTACATCTCTCCGTTTTCTATGTCAGTCTGAAGTACACAAGATATACTATACGCCGAGCCATTTTTTAGAAAAGGGTACAGTCTACTTTATGAGATACAGGGCTGTCAATAACGGAGCTGAATATGAGACATAGATGTACTTTCTCTGCCAATTAACAAGCGAAATCATTTGTTAAGGAGTTCTTGGCTGGCATGACTTTGCGGCTTTCTCTTCGGGTTATGGTAGTCTTAATTCTGCATCGTTTATGTCCTCTGAGTTATGTAAACGTAACATAATCGGGCTAATCAGAGGCACTTTTAAACACATCACGATATGATGCTGATATATGAGATATACGCTAAATATTTATTGACATATAAGAGTCAGAATAAGATAGTGAAAAAACAATGTTTTTTGTTTTAATCAAATATATATCTGCAATTAACGTCTGACGAATACAAAAACTATAGCAAATAGCAGCAATACACAAAACAGATTGAGAAACACATGAGTTTATACATGCAATTTATTCTCAAAACAAAAAATATTATCGTTGTTTGTTCTTACTGGATTTTTTATTACTTTTTAACAATCTCTGCCTTTAGCGCAAATCTGATGCGAAATGAGAACAGTTTCTGTATGTTGAATAACGTGGTGTATATAGAGCTAATAGATGACTGTTTATTGTTCGAAATGTTTCCACATCAAATGGTCTAGTGCCTTTAATTTTACCATCTACTGAACATTGTTCTATTTCATCTTCATTATATACTGAAAATACCAGCATTTGAATAATATGTAATAAATCACCATCATTATTTGATGAATCAGCAATTTGTTTCGCACTTAAATACTTATTTTCATCAATTGTGAATATATTTTGTGGGTTGTTTGGATCAATTAAATTTACACACTATACAAATAAACAGATTATCGCTAAAACTCAAATGTCTGTCAAACATAACTAATACTCACGTTAAAATCGTTACGATTTGAGCAGGAGACGAACTTGAACATGGGGGCGACGGCAGACAATTGTTAAATGTTGACTAAAAGGAAAAAACAGCTCACATAAAAAATTGAGATTTTCAAGTACAGTTAATCGTTCATTGTTAGATGTTGTAGATGAAAATGATGGATTTGTATCAGAATAATTTGTTGCGGTTATTATTTCATTATCTAATGTAGTACGAACTGTATCCGTTGAATTTGGAAAAGCATTTGTTAAAACTGGATCAGCGAACGTTAATGATGATAAATAATTATCTACAGATGTGAGAACCGACTTTGATGTATCCACTGCTTTGTTGTAATTAGATGTTACTTCATCAATTTCTTCATTGTCATCAGTATCCTATGAAACGTGAAGATTAGAGAAAAGAATGAGGCATTTCATAAATTTATAAAAACATTTTTGACAAGCCAAAAAAATTTAAACTAATTAACAATAGTTGTGTGACGTTTAGGGTTTGGTTTCCAATTGAAAACGAACTACCGCATAAGAATTTTACATTTCCTTATTTTTCTAATTAACTTACATGAAAATCATAAATATTTTTCCATAATTGAAGATTTATACGGAGCTGGTGCAAAATCCGTCTAAAAAAATCTAATAATCAATAAATATAAAATAATAAATAAACTAATTATTTTTTTGGACTAGATAATTACCACAATCCAACTAAAATACACTTACCTGTGTTTCGGCATTCTTTTTTCTTCGACTGTTTATCGATAGAAACATATCTGCTAAAACATTCATCTTTTCAACACATTGCCGGTTACTTGTTTCAATCGAAGCAACTTTCTTCCCCCTTCTTCAACTGTCGCCGTTAATGTTTTCAAATTTCTTTGTACTAGTTCAACTGCTGCAAATATATCTTGAACAAACGTTAAAATTTGATCTTGATGTCCAAGGGCATCAGCTAATGCTTGATATTCATTATTTTCTTTTATTAATATACTTTTGGATTGAGTTCTTTGATCTGTTGATATTCTATTTGATTTTGTTACTTCAATTCGTGGAATGTGTCGTTGTAATTCTTCTATCTGATCAGCTGTAGTTTTTATTTCTCCTTTGTAATGTTTATTTCCAAATTTAACTTGTACAACATCACCAATTGTGTACGTTGGTCTATCATCGATAATATCATCCCATGTCAAATTATCGCAGTATGTTGACTGTAAAGGAAAGGGTCTTATCGAGTTAAAATGCCTGTATGTATGTTTGTATGTCCGCAGACTAGATACTAGCGACAGACAAACTAGTACAGCAAAAGTTGATTGGTTGATAGTGATATAGAGTAGGTAGTCGACTATGGAGAATCAGAAAATGAGTATGGGCGACCTCTACGGTGATTCCTGTTGGTCGAAAATGTCATTTCCACATGAATGGATGAAAATGATACGTAGTAGGTAGTTCACTATGGGGAATCAGAAAATGAGTATGAGCGACCTCTACGGTGATTCCTATTGGTCCAAAATATCATTTCTTTATTGATATTTCTTTAAATATCAATGTAACTAAGGACTTACTTTGTAAGTATTCAAACCGATTGCTTTTATCCATCCACTGTATGGCTTCTTTTATGTAAGAATCACTTGTTAACATTGATGGTGTATCCACAGAATCAAATGATTGTAATAACTCAAGAAACTCGACATCATCTGCATCACTTACTCTAAGTTTTCTTTGTGGGACAAAATTTAAATCAATGTCACCGTCGCTTTCACCTTGTTCCAGTATTTGTAGTAAATGTGCACCACGATTTTCTTTGCATTCATGCAATAGTTCAATATTATCGATGATTGTTTGTGCTGAATCCGAAAAGCTATCTTCGTATAATCGAAATGCGTCATCCCATGTTTGATTAACAGAACATAAATCTTCAACTTTTCTCCATGGTTTGAATAAGGTTAATATAGAACGGCAATACCGTTCTCTCGTCTCTTCTCTACTCTGTCTCGGTATTTGTGGTCCAACAAATACTGGAACTGGAACATTCTTTGCTCGTTTCATTAATAAATGTGGTAAATGTAGCGGATGATCACTTGTAAACGTCAGTCGTTCGCTTCGTGGACGTCCTCTCCCAGCGCCAGGCGGTGATTCTTGGTGGGCTTGTTTTGAATATTCCCTGTGTTTGGATTTCATACGTTCTCGATAGTATTCACTAACAAAGTCGTAAAGACAAACATTTTCAATCGTAATCGGCCGATATTGATAATCGATTCGTGTATTTGCTAGTGCAAACGTAGTTCTATCATTTGTGCGCTCAAGGATAAATTGTTCTTCTTCCTTTTCAATACCAACTTTATTTCCAGCATCATCAATTTCTACAATTGCTGGCTCTAAACAGAGACAGAGAGAGAGTTACAGAAACTGGACCAAGCAAAAAGCTTTCTTAAAATAACTACTTACCTTCATCAGTATCAGTTGTAGCCAGTTGTAAATTATTCTTGGATTTAAGTTCATCTAGACATAATTGTAGATGAGATTAAATGTCAATCAGAAACAACTTAAACGAATTTTTCGTTTGTATAGTGATCCGGCCATCCGATGAGGTATGAAGCCACCTGTGGACCCGATAATTCTTGCTGACTAGCGATGATATTATAACATCGAAGAACCAAACGCCGCGATCTTTCTTGAACGTCTGTTGTTCTAATATCGCTATTTTCGATCGATTCCAGGCCTTTTAACATCAATGAATAGATGTCATAAAATGATAAGGTTGATTTTGTTACGTAGTCTGTTATATAGTATACTAGAGCTTTAGCATCTGATGCTGACTATATATACTTGATATCCATATTACATCGAATTGCTGTCATGAGCCATTCATTAAAATTGTTAATCCACGGATGGTTTCGTCTCATTTCTATCACACCTGTGTCAACATTAATGTTTGACTGTTTAATAATTTTCTTTGGCATTCTCATTCGACATTCCTCCAACTTTGAATACTTCCAGCATCTATCGGTATGTTTGTGAATGTTACCTTCTTCGACCAGTTTCACAGTATCTTTCTCCAATAACTCTCGCAATTTGGAGCAGATGGATTTGGTGTTAATAAACAAGCTAGGCTTAGTTTAGCCAGAAATTATACAAGCAGAAATGAAGTAACTATGTTTTCGAGTGCGATGAAATATTCATTTACCTAATTTTTTATTTCTTGTTAATATTTTCTTGGCAGAATCTGAAAGGTTGTCATGATCCTTTTCTTGTATAGGCTTTAAATTAACAAAGCAATTGAACTGTTCGGGTTGCGTAGGGTCGATTGGGAAATTTCCGACCATCTATTTATAAACGAAGGATATGTAGAAGCAGCACGAAATGATAAGTAAGAGAGCGCCGTTTGTTGGTGAATACTCACTTTGAAACTGGTCAAGATCTTCTTTAATAATATCTTCTAAATATTCAATTAAATTCTTTCTGAATTCTTTATCTTTAATCATTTGTTTCACGTCTGCTGGCGCATACTCGTGATCCAACCATATCAACATATGTAAGTGTAAAGAATCACGACCAGAACTTTCAACTGTACCATAATAAGATTTTGTTGAACCAAGTACACCTTCACCGCTAATCATAGTGTCAATGACTGTTTGAATTAAATGATTAAAAAATTTGGCCGTTGCTGCAGGATGTGATGCAATAAGTTGTGCTCGTTTTCGAACAGTTAATAGGAAATTATTCGATAGTATTTCATCAATATCCATGTTAACACCAGTAAAATACATAGCCATAGGACTGTGTATATCAGCTGGATTTATTGTTATAAATATACTTGGTAGACCTAGTTTGTATATTAACAAATGTATTTCGATTCTTAATTCAGCACGGGAGTGATCTGAACCCATAACATGACCATCAACAGCTTTGACTTGTTTTAGTAGTATGTCCAAACGTGAATCAGCTTTTGAGGAATAGGTTTTACTTACGATTCTTGTTAATGCCACTCGTAGATCTTTGGTTGTTAATGACTGAATCTGGCTTGCATAATCTTTAAAATATGACCTTGATACAATTAGCCGCGCTTGTTGACATGCATCTCGTCTTTGAATCATATTAAATACAACATACATAAACGAATAATGCTCTTCGAATCTTTTGTCGTGATACGATAACAAATATTCCACATGTTTCTTGAATGATACTTTTGTCTTTCTTGAAGTATCTTCCAAGCCTCCTACACCGTAGGAAAATAATGTTGAAAATAGGCCTGAACCATGAAAAAATTAAACTGAAATACTCTACTGGCAAATATTGTATTAATTTACCTGTAAGCAAGTCTGGGTTAGAATAGTCATTACTTGGTCTATCAGATCGTGGAATCTGGAAAATGTTTTCGTTTTCATTTTCTTTTGTTGCGTGTGTGTTATGTTGTGCTTCTGGTTCATCCCCACTTTCTATTTCATTTGCTCAATCTATTGTTTGTGCTGAATCAACTTTAAGCTTCTGTAAAAGATGATAATGGATGTCTCCTGAACGAACACTAGATCCATTAACATCTAATACACCACTCGTTTGAACTGGTATAATAGTGACTAACTTTCAAAAGCTCTTTCACTATTTTGATCTTGATTATCCTCTTCAAGATCAGGGTCATCTATCGTTTCTGTGACATAACCTGTCCTTCCTGTCATAGTTTTTAGCAGAACATCAGGTATATCGTTAATTGGAAGTTTGTTTAAACTGGCCATATCGATTTCGATGTCGCTATATAACAGATTGTATCTCTTTAGCACTGCAATGCATCGATAATTTTGTGTTTTCGAACTGTAAGAACATCTCGAAGACGTATAAGATCTGGTGGTAAGGCTTGTGCTCCAACGAAAACAATTTTTATTGTGCTTGCTAACTCGTCTAATGATAGTGAAAGACGTTTTATACCACTCGATATAGCTTTAAACGGCGAACAAAACTGTCTATTGCTCAATTGTTATGTACACTGCGAACACCCACGTTTTTGCTATATTACTGTTAAAAATGACCTTTTCAGCATAGTCAACGATAGTATTTGAGCTTTTTCATCGGGAAAGAACCCAGGTTGCGATCTACGTTGTATATCGAAAGAAAGCTCTTTCAAAACTCTACAAAACGGTGGGTAACTCATTTCTAGTTGGAAGTGCGAACACTCACTTTTTGGGATATTACTACTGAAGAGTGATGTTTTCAAGCATAGAGACGGATAATGTTCCTGTGGTTTTACCATGAAAGAGCTTAGGTTGCGGTCTACATTATATATCAAAACAAAGCTCTTTCAAAACTCTAAAAAATGCTATGTAATTCCTTTTTAATCAATACTGCGAACACCGACATTTTGGGATATTACTGTTAAAAGTATGTTATAATAGATATCATTATTGGTAGACTTTTAGGATCGATAGGAATATCGACCCAAACTTTGTTAATCAATGAATGGAAAAATTGAATGGAGTGAACGGAAGATTTGTATTTCTAACGAGAAGCTTTGAAAAGCTGTTTTACAGCACATCGAGCCATTTTATCGGCATAAAATAAGTGAGATATACATGTGAAAAAGTCTTTGAACAGTTCCTAGCTGAGTGAGTTCTACAGTTTTTTAAAATTTATTAGTCAAAACGAAAGAGGCCACAGTAGAAAAAAGTTTCTAAGTGTATAAGGAGTTTTTTCTCACTTTTCAAAATTTCATGACGATAACAAGGATACATCTCAGTAATATTTAAGAGAGCTTTCTAGGTTGAAATTACGATTTGATGGCTAGGAGAATTAGCATCTTCATTTCTTACTATGAAAGAGCTTAGGTTGCGGTCTACATTATATATCAAAACAAAGCTCTTTCAAAACTCTAAAAAATGCTATGTAATTCCTTTCTAATCAATACTGCGAACACCGACATTTTGGGATATTACTGTTAAAAGGCGGTCTTTTCAGCATACCCAACGATAGTATTTCTATTGTTTTCACCATGAAAGAACTTAGGTTGCGGTCTATATTATATATCAAAAGAAAGCTTTTTTAAAACTCTACAAAATGGCTGGTAATTCATTTCTAGTTACAAGTGCGAATGCTCAGGTTTTCGGATATTACTACCGCAGAGTGATGTTTTCGGCATCGGCGGATAGCGTC